CCCAGGCGGACATGTCCTCACGCTTGCAACTCGCCGACACACTTTACGCTTACTTGGGTTTTCTGGTTAGTTAACTACGTTTAGTTGTGCGGTGTTCTTCCCAAAAGTGTAACTAACCCACGTGCACCACCGCTGGCTGTTCCGGGAGTTGAACCTCTTTCATCTATACAACTTTTGGTCTGTAACGATACTTATATTGTTGTTCTTTTTCGCCGCTGATTTTTGTTTTTCTTCATAAAAGGCAGAAAGTTTATTTTATTTATGTGTGTAATTTTTTTTTCACCAGCCATAATTTAAGAGGGTAATGTCGGTCCCTCGCTAATAATTAGGTGGAGACTTCCGTGGGCGGGGCGACTCAAGATGCTAGATGCTGTGTGTGTGTGGGTGGGTAGTTGGGTGGGCGGCAAAGTCCTTGTGACCAGGAGGGAAGGTCGTGTGTCTGTCTGGGGCAGTAGGGCGGGGCTGGGTGTACGGTGGTGGGTGGATAGGGGGGGCAGAGGGCAGGGCAGGGTGGACAGGTGGGTGGAGGGGGGCAGGTTGCATATATAATTACATCTGTAAGTGGATTATTTACTCCAGTGTCGTGAACATTACGTCTACGAGTCCTTGAGTTAATATCTGAGTGATACTTGTGTAGCCCTTCACCAGAGAGAGAGAGAGAGAGAGAGAGAGAGAGAGAGAGAGAGAGAGAGAGTATCCAGGGGCCGCCGTCGGGTCTCCCTCTAATGCCCTTGAGTTGAATGTTCTCATAATCCTAACCTAAACTACTGGGTCTGGATTCTCAGCTTCTCGGAGATACTTCACATTAAATGACTCTAAATCCTAACTAAAACCGTGTGATTCTTAGATTATCACAGATTCTTACGTTAAATGACCCCAGAACCCTAACCAAAATCATGTGTCTAGATTATCACAGATTTTTACGGTAAATGGCCACAGAATCTTGACTTTAGTCCCTTGGTGTATAGGCCCAAAGGTATCCCACGTTAAATGGCCAATGAAGTCAAGATGTCGTATGTAAAACTCCATGGACGGTGAAGTGTGTGTCAGGTGAAGTGTGTGTCAGGTGAAGTGTGTGTCAGGTGAAGTGTGTGTCAGGTAGATCAGGTAGACTTCTCATTAACTAACATAAACACGAATCTTTTTCAATCTTGTGGAGTCTATTAGTTCCCTTTACATGTCAACTCTCTCGAATAGCTGGTTGGGTCCTATTAGGTCTTGGGGTCCTATTGGGTCTTGGGGTCCTATTGGGTCTTGGGGTCCTATTAGGTCTTGGGGGTTCTATTGGGTCTTGGGGTCCTATTAGGTCTTGGGGTCCTATTGGGTCTTGGGGTCCTATTGGGTCTTGGGGTCCTATTAGGTCTTGGGGGTTCTATTGGGTCTTGGGGTCCTATTAGGTCTTGGGGTCCTATTGGGTCTTGGGGGTTCTATTAGGTCTTGGGGTCCTATTAGGTCTTGGGGTCCTATTAGGTCTTGGGGTTCTATTAGGTCTTGGGGTCCCATTATGTCTGCGGGGCCCATTAGGACAAGGGTCCATTTAACCTGTCAACATAATTCCTTTTTTTGTTGACAAGTACTCATGTGGAAGTTAATCTTGCTATTCAGAGTGTTGTCAGGGTCCACACACACACACACACACACACACACACACACACACACACTTTGAAGAGGTCCTGTTGACTCATTTAAAACAGAGACGCAACTTCCCGTTATATCTCCACCATGTATAAACAGTCATCATAACTCCTGTTTAATCCGTTCAAAAGACACACTGTATCCTGTTAACGCCCATCGTTTATAAACAGTACTGGGGAGCCTGTGTTAACTCCTTTAAACAGACGTGATATAAGAGACTAAGGAACTGTTAACTGGGTCAAGAGTCTTTATTTAACTTTGTGAGACTTGTATTGCTTTAGCCAGCTCACCATCACAGCTGTGTGTGTGTGTGTGTGTGTGTGTGTGTGTGTGTGTGTGATATCTGGTAGTGCTTAGGTCGTGTAGTGTAGGATAATTCAGGATATAATGTTCAATCCTACAGTTCATCCTATAGTCTAGCATACCTGTACACTAATTGAAGGTCTCAGGTGTAATTCACAAAAAATAATGCATAACTAAATTTTGAATTAATCCAGGAAATTAAAATGTGTTTGTAGTGATTAATTATCTCATTAAAAAGTTTTAAGTGACGTTTCATATAACTGTAGTCCCGGATAATGTTCATACGTGTTTTTAATGATTCTTACTGTAGACTCTTCCGGGTGTATGGTCAATCTTTCCCGCCACCCCACCACACTACACTAACGCCGCTATGATGAGAACGAATATGGGTTAAGTCACATCAACAACCTATCCTATCCTATCCTATCCTCTCCTATCAAACACTCGGGGTCACCATTAGTAACTCCCACAGTCACGGAGATGAAGTTTCACCCAGAGATTAAGATATTGCAGCTGTGGCGAAGCGTCCCTCAAGCGACCTCCTCAGTTGACCCCCTCCCACACCCACCTAACCCACTCCCCCACCACATCTCTACCCCCAACCAACCCCCACCACACCCCAACAATCCCACCACATCCCAGTAAAGGTCACCAGTACGATATTAATCCCAAATATCACGAGGTTATTGGTGAATTGAACCTCTGGTGTATGTCTGGGTGGTGAGTAGGTGGGTGGTGGTGAGGAGGGTTAGTGGGTGCGTGAGTGTGGGTGGATGTGGGAATGAGTGAGTGGTGGTGGGTGTAGGATGGTTGTAGGAGGGGGGGGGAGGAAGTATAGATGGGTAGGAGAGGAGGAAAGGTAGTGGTGGGGGGGGTGGGGGTAGGATGGAACATGTTTGGATGGTTGTGTGGGTGTGCTTGTTGTCATAGAGGGCGGAGGAGGAGGAGGAGGAAGGGTGTTGTTCGTGATTATAGGGTGGAGTGTGGAGGAGTTCATTGGGTGTAAGGTGGAGGGTGCTATGGGTGGAGGATAGCAAAGGGGAGGAGGGTGGGTGGAGTATAATGTGGTTAGTGGAGGTAGGAAAAGGGTGGAGGAAGAATGTGGAGGGATGCGAAAGAAGGGTGGAGGCACATTTAGACGGGGTGGACGTAAAAAAAATAGACAGGGTAGGTGTAATAGGTGGGCGGGGTGGGCTTAAGAGGTGGGTAGGGGTGGGCGTGAGGTGAATTAACATGACAATAGAGAGAATGAAAATCTCTTCATATCAAAGGTCACTATAGCAGGTCTTAGGGTACGTCCAGGGAGGGAGGGGGACAGGGAGAGGGGAGAGGGTGAGAGGGGGACGAGGGGAGGGTGAGAGGGGTGAGAGGGGGACGGGGAGAGGGTGAGAGGGGTGAGAGGATTAGCTTGAGGGGGGATGAGGCAGGGAGGAGATGGGGTGAAAAGGTAGAGAGGAAGGATAATGAAGAAAATAAAGAACGAGGAGATAGGGAAGTGAAGAGAGGCAGAATGGGGGAGGAAGGGAGACAAAGATAGACCCAAAACAAAGAATAAGAGACAGACAGACAGACATAAATAATAAAACAAAGAATAAAATATGAGATGAATAAAAGAGAAGGATAAAGAACAGATAATTAGAACCTTGGAGAGTGACAACAAGTGATACTCGACCTTGGACTGGAAGTGATACTCGACCTTAAAGATATTAACCACAACACACAAGTGGGATGATCTACCATAGTAAACAATACCACTACCTCCTCCTCATATCTCTCTCTCTCTCTGTCTCTCTCATCCTCATATCTCTCTCTCTGTCTCTCTCATTGACCTATTTATCTCCCACCATCTCTTTCAGTTGTTTACTTTTCTACAGCATCTTTCAGTCTCTCATATGACGTCCATTGTTGAGCTTTCCATTGCACAAAAGACCCTACTTGACCAGATGTTTCTTTGCAATGTCACTTTCTTGTTTCGTTGTGTTCTCCACCTTGTCATCTTTTACCTGACTATTGACCCTCATTGTGTGTCAGTGATGCAATTGCAATATCTTCCTGCATTGTGTAGTCACTTGTGTATTTTGCGACATCTCCCTGCGCTGTGTGCATTATGCAGTTGCAATACCTTCCTTGCATTGTCGCTTATTCAATTGCAATACCTCCTGTGCATTTCCCCCTGCATTGGGTATTAGACGCGTACTATCGACTGATCATACTTAGGTCCTGTTGCTATTGCTGCTGGGATGGGATGGGATGGGATGGGATGGGATGGGATGGGGTGTGGTGTAACTATTACCAGAGGTTGATGGGGGTTGAATGCAACTGCTGCGTTAAGATGTACACCGTGTCTTAGTGTAATATGAACCCCTATTGTTGGCTGGGACGATGTGGGGATAACACCTTAGAGTCCACAGGTGTTGTATCCAGGTGGTGTGTGGGGAGGAGGTCGTGATACTGGTGGGGGTTGGTCAGGATGCTGGTGAGGGGAGTCGTGGTGTGGTCGGTCATGTTCCTGGTGGTAGTGGTGATTGTCGACCGATGAACAATTATCACTAAATGAAATGGGGTCTGTAATTAGGGCCTCAGTCATTAAAACACCCACCTATCGGACCTTAACTTAACCTAACTAAATTATTTGACTTGTGGGTGGACCTATTAAACCAGTCATTAGATGAATTACTATATGACTTGTGTACATAACAGTGTGTGTGATATAAACACAGTTTGGGTAATTTAGGCCTTGTTAATATTATTGGACAACTATATTGAAATGTTCCTAATTTGTGATGCAGATTCTATTGTAGTTGCACATAGCGCCAGTCAACGCCGTATAAATAGTCTCTTTTGCAAATCACACGCGTGGAGGATGGCCAATTGGTGACAGCTAGTAGTGAGGATGTGTAATGATTGTATGTGTTTTATATGTGACTTTAAACCATATGGAACGTATGGTTGTGACAGGTAGAGAGGTAATGGTTGATGAGGAATATTTTGTTTAAAGCCAACGAGAAGAATTTTGGTAATAGTGATCTAGGAGAAAGAAATGTTACTTAGGCATAACACAGGCACCAGGAGAGTGTGTTCAGCTTCACACAGGCACCAGGAGAGTGTGTTCAGCTTCACACAGGCACCAGGAGAGTGTGTTCAGCTTCACACAGGCACCAGGAGAGTGTGTTCAGCTTCACACAGGCACCAGGAGAGTGTGTTCAGCTTCACACAGGCACCAGGAGAGTGTGTTCAGCTTCACACAGGCACCAGGAGAGTGTGTTCAGCTTCACACAGGCACCAGGAGAGTGTGTTCAGCTTCACACAGGCACCAGGAGAGTGTGTTCAGCTTCACACAGGCACCAGGAGAGTGTGTTCAGCTTCACACAGGCACCAGGAGAGTGTGTTCAGCTTCACACAGGCACCAGGAGAGTGTGTTCAGCTTCACACAGGCACCAGGAGAGTGTGTTCAGCTTCACACAGGCACCAGGAGAGTGTGTTCAGCTTCACACAGTCACCAGGAGAGTGTGTTCAGCTTCACACAGGCACCAGGAGAGTGTGTTCAGCTTCACACAGGCACCAGGAGAGTGTGTTCAGCTTCACACAGGCACCAGGAGAGTGTGTTCAGCTTCACACAGGCACCAGGAGAGTGTGTTCATCGTCAATCAAATGATGTCACCCCCCCCCTCCTCGTCCAGAGTGACCAGACGGCCTACATCATGTTCTCCGTCCCTCCCGTCCAGAGTGGTGACATGGGTGATGACAGTAATGATGATAGTGGTGAGGTGACGAGAGTGGTGATGTCATTACCAGCGCCACTGTCACCAGATCATGTCCTCTCGTTTGCTCTTACTTATGCTTGTTTGTTTACTGATGGCGAGTGTTTTGGTGATCTGTCTTTCTCCTCCTCTTAAATTCATGCTTCATATTCCTCCTACTCTTACCCCTCTTCTTCCTCCCCTCTTCTTCCTCTCCTCCCTCTTCTAATATCTTCAACACAAAGATCACGAATCCTCTATAGGTTATCACGATTACCGCGTCGCTTTTGTCTGTTTTCAGCAAAGCCCCAGAGACGCCACCATGAATAAACAAATGAGCATCAGGAGAAGAAATCAAATCCTGTTTCGCGTTATCAGATACTGTATAGGGAATTTATAGTTTTTTAATAGAGTTTTCAAGGCTTATTGGTATCCGTATGTACTCGATATTGTTTTTTTTTTATTTACCTTATAGTTTTCAGCGCTTATGATTTGAATCCTAAATATGGTCTCTCAGGAGTTTTTGTACGTGTATAGGTAATAAATGAATTTACCTGACGAATTGACGAGGAGGGTTCACTTTTGCGAGTTTACTTTGAGAGTTTATTGGTTTACCTAGAGCGTTTTCATCTGCAAAGGCTGACCTGGTGAATTTACCTGCAAAGTTTACCTGGTGATGGAAGTTATGGAATGAGAATGGGCAGTGAAAAGGAATGCCTCAGTGTGGGTTGAAGCCAGGGGTGTAAGGTCCGCTACACACACACACACATACACACACACATCTGGCTCACAAGACACTCGTTACAATACTCAAGGCACTGTACTGTAGTAGTGGCGGTGTTATTAATGATGTTCATGTTAACGGAAGTGCAGAAGAAACGAAACGCGTTCACCAGACAGCCTTCGTCAGCTACCCTGGTCCTCTGTGATGGGTATTCGTCCGTGTGTGTGTGTGTGTGTGTGTGTGTGTGTGTGTAATATATAACCACCAGCAGGAAATTAACCGTGACTCAGTATGGTCGGCGGGGCAGTACAATGTTATCAAGACGGTGTGTGTGTGTGTGTAGTGGGGTAGTTGATTACTATGAATGATGATGATTGGCTGTTGCTCACGTCCACGACTTGCCTGCACGCCTACCACGCTTCTCTCAGGTTAGATCGGGTCGAGTTAGGTTAGGTTAGGTTTGGCCTTCACCTACAACGTCTACTAGTCCACCTATTCCACCTTCGCTCCACATCCCCTCCACATAGTTATACCCTCACCGCCCCTGTTCTCTCCCCCCCCCCCTTTCCTCCCCTCTCCGCACTCTTATTACTGCTGTTATTTATATCCATCATCATCATCCTTCGACTTGCCTCTTGCTCCCCACAACATATTTGATCTTAAGAGGACAATCGGAATTACGCATTTCTGAGAATCCATCCTTGTAGCTTGAATCAGTGCGTCAGTTAGATACGCTTTGTGAGCTTGAAGAGGGAGAGTTAGGTGTGCTGAGAATCTACCGCTGTGTCGTAGGTTCTGTGAGTCTGGTTGTGACTATGATTCAACCTACGTCTATTCCTTGAAGAAATATCTACATGTAGTCGCCAGTTATTGGATCATCTCTCTACTAAATACAACCATTGAAGACTTGTTTTTCTTCTGAATAATAAATTTCTCTCAAGGGATTAGAATTGTTACGTTAATGATTGATAAGACTTTAAGCCCCTAGAAGCCTTAAGGATTAGTGGAGGTTTGATTTAAAAGTTTTGTGAGGGAAAATATTGTGTGTTAATGTCTCCTGAGTGTTGGTGAGGCAGCAGTCTATCAATGAGGCTTTGTGGAGGTGAGGGGGAAGTGTGTGTGTGTGTGTGTGTGTGTGTGTGTGTGTGTGTGCGTGCGTGCCACCAAACCAAACATCACCATCACCCCCCACCTACCACAAACAACCTATACCCCCCCCCCACGCTACCCTACCACATAAGGGTATAGAGAAGGAACTGTGGTAATGACTTCTCGACTTAACAGTAGGTACTCCTGAATGTGCTGCTTAAGGATCTGTTAACCAAAATTTTATATCTTGATTATAACTTGTTCAAATGGCTTTTAGAAAATGTTCAAATGATTTTTAGAATATTTTAATTACTTTTGCAATGCTAATTACTCGCCACTTATGGGTTTTCGAGGTCATTTCTTGGTGCTTGTGTATTATTCTGGATGTACTTAAATAGTTAGGCACATTAAATTTTAGTTCAGAGAGAAAAAGTATTTTTGGCCAAAAATCCTTTAAGGCTATAGACTTACAATTTTTGTCATTTCGGCCAAAAAATGGATTTTGTTCAAAATTTCAGTATAGGTAGTTAACACACCTATACAGCGTGTCTACTGGTCTGGAAAATCTGAAAAAAAAATCAAGGAATTTTATTTTGTCTGGCCAGTAGACACCTTGTTGCAATACACTTCACCTTTATCTCATCTCTCACTTTGCAGGTAGAGAGACCAGTCAGTTAGGAGACCCTTAGATACCTCACTGAGAGAAGGCGTAGGGAGGGGAGGGGGGAGATTAGGGGTCGGGGTGTTGGAGGGGGGTGAGGAGGGGGCCATCCAGTCGTGATCTTCTTTTGGCTATCTAAAAGACCGAAGGCTGTCTGGTACATAGACGTTTGTGTTTGTGTACAGTGCAGACAGGAGACGACTGTCGCCCATCTGTCATTTAGTTATCAGGACTTGAGGAAGATTCATCGTGTGAGTAGGTTGTTCTTCTTCCTCCTCCTCCCCCTTCTTCTCCTACTCTTCTTTACTCTTCTTTTTTATTCCTCTTCTCTTTCCTCCTCCTCCTTCGGTACAGCTTGATAGCATCCACAGTAAAATCTTGACGACTTGTGCAGTGATAAATAATACCAGTGTGACCTTTATGGTAGTCCGTCATCACAATAGATTCACGGCTGTCGGAGTATACGTGTTCCTGGGTCAGTTCTTGCTGGTTAGTACTCAGAAAGGTGTTGCTGGAACTGTAACTTCTTGATACTATATGAGATTGGTGTTGAGAATCCTAGTTTATGATCTCACTCCCTCCCTCACTCTCTCCCTCCTTCCCTCCCTGTCTCCCTCTCTCCCTCCCTCCCTCTCTCCCTCCCTCTCTCCCAGTACCAGAGAACTGACTTGATGAGGTCGCCAGTATTTTATGGGTAATCGTCTGCCAGAAAAGTTTACATAATTTCCTCTTCATCAGATAACTTTACTTTTCTCTTGTGTTATCTTTTGTTAAATCACCTTATTTGGTAACGTGGCCATTTTGTTGTTTTGTTATTGTTTTTGTTTATTTTTTGTGGCGTGAAGGTTACTACATCCTCTTACTTCTTCTCCTCTTTTTTTTTCCTTCTCTTCTTTTTACTCTTTCTCCTCCACCTTTTTCCCTTCATCTTCCTACCTCCTCCTCCTCCTCCTCCCATTTCGTCTTTTCGTTTTTTTTTCTCCTCCGTTTCTTAGTGTTTCTATTCGTTCCTCTTCCTTCTGCTCTTCCCCCCTTCCTCCTCCTCCTCCTCTTCATTACCATTCCATTACACCCGTTCCTTTACCAGTCAGTCAGTCTCCTACTCAGCCAGTCACCCAGTCAGTTAGCAGTAGGCGTGGCAGAAGTGTTGGCGATGGCTCCACCTCCCCTGTATATGGTGGGCGGCTCCAGCTCCAGCCGCCCATAGTAGGAAGGACCCACGCCATTATCCCCCCTCCCCAACCCACCCACCCCCATGGTCGCTTACCTGGGTGTTTACCGTGGGAGTTTGGGTCTTATGTAGGCGGGATGATGTGCTTGCTTGCTTGTGGTGGTGGGGGCAAGATGGGCTATCAGTCACGTGGGGTGTGTGGGTTGGAATCCCCTGTTTGCTTTTGTGTTTTTTTTTTTGTATTGTCTTGTGTAAATAATGAAGTTTCTTGTTGTTGCTCTATTCTCAGTAAATAATAATAATAATAAATAGTTGTATTATCATTTATTATTATTATTATTATATTAAAACAAATAAACACCTAAGTTTAATATATTCACAAACTCATTAAATAACTCAAGTGTCTATATAAAGTGACAAAATGTATTACTGCCAGGTTTAATTTAGTTAGTCCTCTCTATTCTCGCTTGGGAACGTTTTCTTTGTTGGCCAATAAAATGGTTGTGAAATACGTCTTTTACCGCGCCTTGTATGGGGTAGGGGTCAGCCAAGCCTAGGGTCCTGTCACAGATATTCGTAGGGATGGTTTTTTGTCGTTACCTGAGGATGTAAAATGTTCCTAAGAGGTTAATTTGAGGTTAAAATATAAAAGTATGAGAAATATAACATTGAGATTTGGTTAGGTTAGTGTTTGGTTAAGTTGCGTTGGGGTAGGTTAGGTTACACAAAATATGACTGAAAATATTTTGCCTCGCTGACCAACGTACACATTTACTATTTCAGTGCATATATGAATAATTATTAAATGATTTTAGTATCGAAAATAGTTATTTGATTTTGGTGTTTTTATTTAGTGAGCTTTAAGTCTTAATTTTCTTTCACGATAATTGTATTATAAATAAAATCCAACGCCACTCAGTATTCTTTCCCACGTCTCTCTGGCTGGTGAATTAGCCAATCAGAAGCCGTTGTTGTGCTGATCCATACCAGGTGTGTGTGTGTGTGTGTGACTACAGGGAACCAGTTTACCATGGGTCCAGGATCTTGGACAATCTTACGTTAAATTTCTCTCTTAACTTACGGTGATGTGACAAGACATCTAATTGGCTCATCCAATTAGAGACAACGATAACAGGCAAAATGTTGACGAAGTTGAACAGAACATCACTAACTAGAGACGTTCTCTCTTCCTGTGTGAGGGAGAAGAAAAACGAGTATCTAAGAATCAGAGTCGGGAATGCGTCAAGTTAACTGCCTGCAATTTTTCAGCACAAGGCAGTGCTTGGAGCTTAATTTCGTGTCGTGAGTGCTTGCTTGCCTTCAGGGCCGGATGGTGGAGGGAGGGAGGGCAAGGGTGGTGTCGGATTGATCCTGATGACGTCACAGGCGCCACTGGTGAACTTACATTTATTCAAACAGTTTTATCCCCCGTCGTCCTCCCCCTCCTGTTGTGTGTTGTTTCTCACACCTCGTGTATATTCTAGGGTCCTGATTATTAAGAGATGATAAACACAGCACGGTAGTATCTCAGTGTAAGGGTCGAAGCCTTTTTGGCGGCCATAGTTTTCACATATGAACAATTAATATACGTATTTACAACCTAAATTATGTGAGAACAATATTAACATTCGTATCTCCGTGAATCCTGGCCTAGTTAGTCGGTCCGTAGATATGGACAAGGACTGTTGTTTAAAGACGAGAAATCTGAGTTAATCACGGACGCAGTGACTTGAGGGGGGAGGGGTTGACGCTCCCTCACTGTGACAACTTGAGGCTAGAAATTTAGTGGAGGAATATGTTGATGACGCGCCTTAATGTGATGATTTAGTGGTTAAACTCTCCTGTGTGAAGCTTCGAGTCCATCCATTTTATCACTGTCAGGCTGCGAAGGAAGGAGGGAGGGAGGGAGAGGAGGAGGAGTACTTCCATAACGCAAAACACCAACCAGTCACCTCGGGAACCAATAGTTGGGGTGGTAGTGTAAGGTCAGGTGGTGGTGATGCGAGGTCAGGTGGTGGTGGTGGTGCAAGGTTAACCCATAACATGATGGTGCAGCTTATAATGGTGATAGCATCAATACTGGTCAATAGTGGTGCAACCAGCGTACAGCCACGCATCCCACCAGCCACCGACACCTGACTCCTAACTCAGTACCCTAAACGATAAATTACCCTCGTTAATAAAGACCCATGTACCAGTCCTAAGTCGTTAACTGAAAAGATAAACAACTAAATTATCCTCCTTAAGTGTAAGTCTTTCTTAACGCCATAAAACCGACTTTGAGAATCTTTCCGAAGAGTTTGTCGAGTGATTGTGTCTCCTGTGGCCGGTGAACACATCTAGTTACGGTGGTGCCTGAGAGATATTTTGGTGCTGTCTTGTGTGTGAGGGAGCAAGGATGGGGGAGGGGGTGGATGATCATGCGTGGTGACCTTGGATTGGTGAGTCATCTGGGGTTGTCTTTGTCTGCTGTGAGTCTCTCGGTGTTAATGGTGACCTCTCTCTCTCTCTCTCTCTCTCTCTCTCTCTCTCGAGTATTATATCGATGTCTGTCTAACAGTATATCTTTCCTTCTGTCTGTCTGTCTGTCTGTCTCTGTGTACGTCAAAACAGGACTTTAATCATCAAATTCTCTGTATTTTATTTCCTTTGTTATTTTGTGTTTGATTCTTTTTCCTTAATTCATATATGTCTCACGAATGTCTCCTTATACCTGTCTCGCACACACTGTCGCACACCTTTCCCTCTCACACACCTGCCTCTCACACACCTGTTCCTCCATACCTGCAGAGACACGAAGGAAAGAAGAGAGAGAGAGAGAGAGAGTGAGAGAGAGAGAGAGACCTACTTGACAGCTATTTAACCACCTGCCTGTAAATGTTTTTAATGGCTCTTTGTCCATCACCACTGATTGGTTAAATTGATGACGTCATTGTTACACGTCATTTGTGATTGGTTGGATCGCTAATGACGTTATTGTTATGTGGCTTCGTTGGTGATTGGTTGGATCGTTGATGATGTTCTGGTGACGTTTGGTCTGGGCGATACCTCGGGCACCATATGATCAAGGAAGCTGAAATATGGATGCAATAGTGACCAAGTGTAAAAAAAGAAAGAGGTCATATTCATACATTGGCCCACTGAACGTACCATTACATGTGCGTGTGTGAGCGTGCGTGGGTAGAGTATGTAGGTCATGTGAGTGTCTTATGTTTAAATATCTGGGCTTTGCTTACTGTGGGTATTTTTTTTTTGTGTTGTGGCGCTTGTAATACAAACACTCAAAGACAATGATGCTCTCCTTGTATGTTTATTTGTTATATTGTCATAATAAACTTGGCCTGGTTTATGAAATATTGTTGGAAGATGATGGTCAAGAATATGAGAGAAAGAGGGGGGGAGAGGGGAGACTGATAAGCAATAATCAGCATGCAGGTTGAAGAGAAAAACAAATGAATCAATTGGAAAAAAAATCATTGCCAGAGTGTTTTCAGTTCAGGAAGTTAAGGATAAACGTATCAAAATAAACCTACAATAACTGTAAGATAAAGAATAGATCCAAGAATTAAAGAAAAACAAATACAAACTTGCGATAGGATGGGAGGACAGAATACAAGGGGAAGTATAAACAGCAAGAACAAGAGAGAATGTGAAGTGGAGGAAGAATGAGAGTAGTCGGCGTTAAAGAGAAGTAAGTGGGCCCTGACATTCGACAATAAAAGAATCAAGAGCGTGAGGAAGTCCCATCCAACAGCGTGAGATAAGTGAGGTGGTTTTGTTTGGTGACCTTGCAAAGTGTGTCTGCTGCCTGCAAAATATGTCGTGTTTGGAAAGTGCTGTTGTTGTTTTTTTAGATTTTGTGTTTATTTTAGTCGTGTATTATTTATTTCACCTACCAAGATGCTAATGTTTAATCTTTAATTTTAGATACGACTACGAGGTCCTGATGCGGAATTCCACCTTCTGCCTGGTGCCCCGCGGTCGACGTCTCGGCTCTTTCCGATTCTTGGAGGTGCTGCAGGCAGGTTGTATCCCCGTCCTGCTGGCTAATGGATGGGAGCTACCCTTCAGTGAGGTCATCGACTGGAGTCAGTCAACTATACGTGCAGATGAGAGACTGCTCCTGCAGGTAAGCAGAAAAACCCAACTGGATGTATAGGCATGGTAGTTTGTTGAAAGGCCATGAAAATACTTTAATCGGTGTGGTCGGAATTTTGATAATTAATACTGATTGTGTCCTCATATCAGTTAGGATAATTATCAAAACTTCATAATCTTAGGGTACTATTAAGACAATTAATTATCAAATTTTCAGCATTTCGACCACAGATCCTTAATCAGCATGTCAAGGACGACCTACTGTATACTGAGATTTGGGCAAATTTTATTTTTTTTTGGAACCCTTGAATATTTTTGGGTCGAAAAAATAATTTTAGCTCAAAATCTTAGTATCGGTCATCCTCAACATACTGGTTTGTGATCTGTGGTCGAAATGTTGAAATTTAGATAATTAATTCTAATTATTAAGTGTCCTCATATCAATTCAATTTTTTATATATCATTTGGACGAGTAATTACTGTACTGTGAGCCCAGAAGCTGATTATATTTTAGTGGGTAACTTCTGGACCCCACCATCAGCTCACTGGTTCATAGACCCTGAGAGTTTTTCAGTAGTTAATAGATGGAACAAGGACTGAGTGTGTCAGTGCTTTATCCCAGAGCAATAAGACTCAAAAGTGTGATGGCACTTACCTGTTTCAAGATGGTGACTACAAAAATAATCCATCCTCTGTTTGAACTGTTGTGCATGTATCCTTGGGTAAGGAAGGAGGGAGGGTATTGGTTCCTCAGTCTGTCCTCGGTTACAGATGAAAGATATATCCAGGGCCGGCGCTACCCACTAGGCGAACTAGGCGATCGCCTAGGGCGCCAACATCTGGGGGCGCCACAAATTCAGGGCAAACTTGGATAAAATTAAAAATGAAGGGAAAACTGTGGTGGACACTGTGGTGGAGCCGTGGAGGGTCGGGGCAGGATGTTAGAAGGGGGGGTGGTCGGAGGGAGGCGAGGGTAGGTAGACGGTAGCCGACTGTGTTTTCTTTTTTAATATTATTCGTTAACCCCCCGGAGGGACTAACCCGGGTCCTTATCTTTGGCGGCCTGGAGAACTGTCGAGCAGTGACCTGAAGGCTGACATCTGAGGAACCCTTCTCCCAACCCCACCATCCCCTCCCCTCCCTTACTGCCAGGGCGGCTGAGCCGTCCCTTCCCTGCCTTTGTCGGGATGAGGCAAGGTTACCTGACCTCTGAAGTTTACGTCAAGGATTTATTGACTTAATGTAATAACAATAATTGGTTATTTGCATGGGTGAAGTAATAAAGCCACAAGATGAAAACAATGTAGTCATGGGTTACTGTACCTACATTAGCTTATCAAAACTTTCAAGGGGGCGCACATCTAAAGGCTTGCCTAGGGCGCCAAATCATCTTGCACCGGCCCTGGATATATCCCGGGTTCCTCATTCCAGTAGAGTTCAATACTAGGTGTTACTCATCATACAGGGTCACTACTTGCTGGGTGACTAGGGATTATTTTCTGTCCTCCTTAAGTTAAAGCCAGGAGGATATGTCGACTCATTTTGGGTGTACCATTCAAACTGTTGATCTTATTTATAAGGGGGACTTAAGTGCAACAGTTTCCTGCAGAGTCTTGGTGTGTAAGTTTAGGGGGAACGCCTATTACTGGTCCCAACCCTCTCTTATATATTGTATCTTTTTTATACCTTCTGTTGTACCTGAATGTCTTTGTTATTCTTTTTCTCTCCACTAATATTGTCAAACTGTAACAGGTGCCAGACATGGTGCGGTCAGTAAATGCTTCACAGATGTTGCACATGAGGCAACAAACACAACTCATGTGGAATCAGTACTTTTCTTCCATACAAAAGATTGTCCATTCTACCATGGAGGTGAGAATTTTGTTGTTTTGGGGTAAAGTCCTATTGTTTAAGTGTCCTCTATACTATATTTCTAAACTGTTCTTTTAAGTTACGCAATCATCATATTCCCATTGTTTTATTACAGTACAGTAATAGAGAAAATCTTTTAGTGACAGTCTCATCTAAAATGGAATCGACATTGTTATGAAAGGCTACTAGATGATGCTTTAAACACTCACAGATTGTTGCGGACAGAGTGAGAAGACACACGGCTCGTCCACTGACCGTTTGGAACTCCAGCCCAGGAGCTTTGGCCGTCAACTTCACTTTCTCCGACTATTTACCGCATTTCCCCTTCTACCTGACATCTCTTGGCACGACTCCAAGCACAAGGTATGGCTGATCTTATTTGTCACACATGTATAGTAAAGTTAAGTATTATGTTGTTCATCTCAAGTTCTCTCATATTTAGTTTATACAGATTAATCTCTAAGGTACAGCAGTTAATTATTGCAGCTGTACAAGTTTTGTCTGTGTTATGTACACCTCAAAAGATCAGCATTCAATACTATAGATTATTTCTTGTACTATAAAAAAAATACACAATCATTGGAATGCACTTGTAGACTTGGAGGGTGCTGTAGGTGGATTACCAGACACTACAGCAGGGATCTGTGTCATTTAAAGTTCAGGAAGACTATCGTAGGAGAGTGACACACACACACACACACACACCACCCACCCACCCACCCACCCACCCACCCACCCACCCACCCCACCCACCCACCCACCCACCCACCCACACCCACCCACCCACACACACAAACCCACCCACCCACCCACCCACCCACACACACACACACACACACCCACCCACCCACCCACCCACCCACACACACACACACACACACACACCCACCCACCCACCCACCCACCCACCCACCCACCCACCCACCCACCCACACACACACACACCCACACACACACCACCCACCCACCCACCCACCCACCCACCCACCCACCCACCCACCCACCCACCCACCCACCCACCCACCCACACACACACACCCACCCACCCACCCACCCACCCACACACACACACACACACACCCACCCACCCACCCACTCACACACACATCACCACACACACACACACACACACACACACACACTCACTCACTCACTCACTCACTCACTCACTCACACACTCACTCACTCACTCACTCTCTCTCTTTAATAAAGAACAATTACAGTGCAGTACATACCTACATTATGCAGTATAGTATTGTTGAGCAACAGTTACAAAATAGAAATCACAGTACAGTGTGTAATTACAGTACAGTTTAGTCATTATTTAAATGCTCCAGCACAGTACAGTTAACAGTTATGTAAAGTTTGATTACAGTGAACAGAAGAATGGAGGAAAATGCAGCGGGCCTATTGGCCCATACTGGGCAGTCGCGTTTACACCCTACCCCTATCGCTGTTATATCCATCCAACCTATATTTGAAGCTATCCAGCCTAATTCATTTATTTAAACTACAGGGCATTACTAAATTCATCCTGTGGTTGTCATTTGGTGTTTTGTATACTGTACTGTAATAGGTTATGGCAGTGGTTAATAGTTTTACTTTCTTCCTTAGGTATACAGCAGTGATATCTGTAAGCCACGGTGGTAGTGGTCCAATGCACACTACCCCTCTCTACAAGCTGGTCAAGAACATTGCTCGCAGCAAGTTTGTTGAAAGGGTAAGTGTGTTAGAAAAATCTTATTGCAGATAGTTGAGGGAATATTTGATAGTGTTTCTCTTGATACCAAATAACTTTTATGTTTGTTTTTGTGTTGAGGAACATAAGTCTCTCTGTCACAGAAGAGATGTTAGAGATTAATGGTCAGCATAGTGAGAAAAGTGTTCAGAGGGAGAATCACTACATTGTGTCATGCCATTAAATGCAAGGATGAACTCTGAGTGAAGGAAACACAGTGGGAAGTAGTTTTATTATTATCACATACAGAACAGTGCTTTTTATAATTCCTTTATGTTTTGCAAATTGAAAGTGTCATAGTGTGGTGTATCCCCTCCCAAACACACGTCATAAAACAGCTTTGTATGTGTGCTGAGACGGTTTCTGTGACATTAATGTTTCCCTGTCATGCCAAAGGCAAGTGGTGAAGGACATCAAGATAGTCTCCATATGTGCTTGTGGGCAAATAACAGTCCAGTGAGCTTGTGAAAACAGTATATATATATATATATATATAACTTTCAACAAGCAGAAATGAATATCAACTAAACTGGTGCAATATATTTGCGTATGGTAACTCAGCTGAATCATATTAGAAATTGATTATAATCAATATTTTCCCTCCCTTTTATCTGTGAGGCAACGGGGAACTGTGGATCTTTGTGGTAAAATATGTATTATGAGGTGTACACAGCTGGTCTCTGTTATACCAGAACTTCAACAAAAACAAACTCCTGTACCATGATGGCCACCACCTTACTAAAGTATGGCAGATGAATTACAGGATTTGAGCTTTTAATTCTTAAGAACATTACTATGCATTACACTTATTAAATAAAAGCCATTCATAGATAGCTACAGATTTTACCCATTACTACAGATTTTGACTTTCCTCTACAGATTGTAGTAGTGTGGACCAGCAGTCAAGCTGCACCCACAGAGAGTCGTCTTCCAGGAGGCAACGTTCCAGTACACGTCGTGGCGTCGGCCGAGCGCTCCATCTCTCTCCGACATTACCCGCACCCTCACATTACCACCGATGCCGTGTTCTCCCTCGACGAGGATGTTTCACTCACAACAGATGAACTCGACTTTGCCTTCACCGTATGGCGAACATTCCCCGACCGAATCGTAGGGTATCCGGCTCGCTCACATCACTGGGACGATTCTAAGGTAGGACTTGTGCAGCACAATACCTCAGTCAGAAATCACCTTTGAAAGTTTGAATGTTTACTCCTGAACTTTAAATACATACAAGGTTTTTGGGATTGTACAGTGCAGTTGGTTGTTACATCATTTTCAATATTTGATGGAAATTGTATGTGTACAAATACTGATGTGCACATACCCAGCACCCTAACACATAGCCAAGCTGTCACACACTCCTGCACAGTGAGTGTTGAGTGATAGCACTAACTTGAATCACCATTTGCTCTTGATATTTAACCTACGAGATGAATGATAAGATTTAGCTAGCACGGCAAAAAGGATGTGTCGGTGTATTTCGTTGTTTGAATTTGTGTTCATTTTTACATTTACGTTACTTGATAGTAATTGTCTTGTCACTTTACCAAATATCTCCACATTCGTAGTTTTCACGTTACCACGCACGGTTGCGGAAATGCGTTTCTACTCCCCCTGTCGTAACTCGTGTCTCCAAACGGCCAACCTATATGACCTATAGCAAACCCATCCACCGATCACGTCCGTCGTTACACGACCAATACCCATTCATTCATAAATAGTGATACAGTTTTGCTACTACTGTGATGTTGCCGTTTGGAGACACGGGCTACCACAGTGGTGTAGGAACACATTTCTACAACTGTGCAGTACAAGACCAGCAACCTAATGTTACTACAGATAATTAAATCTTTCCCTATGTTTACAGCACAAACTACCATAATTTTATACACAAACAAATTCATAGGATGTTGAGGATTTATGCATGCCACTTTATTTGCTTCTTGATAAGGCTTGCAGATTTACTTGACACTTGGGTGGGCCATTAGTCCACACAAGAACTCAGATAAGGTCAATAATAGGTATGATCCAGAAGACTGAAGGTGTTCAGGGATTATCACATGTTCAGCTTTAGGTGAACATGTAGACACAACTACTACTGAGTAATTGTTTTATATAAAGGAAGATCTACCAGTAAGAATGTCTAAAAGTCTTGTTAATGGTATTTTTGTGAATGACAAATATGTACAGTATATATCTATGGTAATATACGAGTGAAAAAATGTAATGAATCTCCTTTTATTACGTGTTGTTATAACCTTTGTTGTCTTTAGTAATAGCTACACGAAAAAGTTTGAAATCGTATACTGTAGCTGCATCCCTGCACAGTGGAATGGTTTTGTAACAAATTAAGTTTTTTCAGGCGGGATGGAGTTACACAAGTAGATGGACCAATTCGTATTCTATGGTGTTGACGGGCGCTGCCGTGTATCACCGGTACTGGCAGCACGTGTTCACCCACCACGCCCCCTCAGGTCTGCTCTCCACGGTCAAGACCACCTCAAACTGCGACGACATCTTAATGAACTTCCTGGTTTCTTCCATTACCAGACGACCGCCCATCAAGCTCACCCAGCGTAAACAGTACAAGGACAACGCTTCGGAAGCGAGGTACTGGGTCGTGTGGAGTCACTTGGCACGAAGATGAGGAATAGTAGGATAGCATGAGGGAGACAGTATATGGGGTTGGGTACTATAGACATGAAGTAAGTAGCAATGTACAGCCAGGGTCAGAAGTTTGCTCTCTCCCAGACTGACGCCGTATCGACCTCAAATGAAAAAAAAACCTGTAAACTCTCACCAAATGAAAGTCGGGGTAAGTAAACTCAGAGACTCATTCCCGTGACTCGGTTTCACCACCAGGAGGGAACTTTTGCCTGTGACTGTACCTGAATGACTGGCATGTATAATTTAGAGCAGTGTTTAGGGATGGACGTACTGCCGATGCGTGATATATAGAATGATTGACACACCGCACGATCAGCAGGAGATGTGTTGCGAAAGGGGAACATCATAGCAGTCCATTATATAGAGGTTTTACTGTATTAGAGAAAATGAATGAGAGTAAATAGGGAAGAATTTGTCTTTTCTCTATCACATCTTAGAATAGGAAACCAGAATGCATAGACTGGTAAAGAGATTGTGCTTGTTTCTTTGTTTTAGGTAATAAATTCAGTAATTAGTTCTGAGGGTGTGAAGTAATGGTTGTTTTAACATCTCGATGACATGGGTTAACTGGGGTAAATTTAGGAAGATGCAGCTTCATGTGTTTTGTGTGTAGTTTAATATTGCTCAGAAATACCAGAGAAGGCCCTTTTTTTTTGTGGAATAGAAGTGCACTGAAAATTGCTGTCTGTGCATCTGTCTATCCATTTAAGTTTCTTATTTAATAGTCCCTTCTTAATTAGGTGTTATGACCAAATTTGTTTATGTGTGAGGATGAATGACCAGCAGGTCCCTCTGGATTTAGTACGGTAGGTCTCTTTAATGTGAATTGTTCAAATTATGTTTTGTATAAGTGATTAAATTTAACTGGGAACTTATCTAATTTCTGTGCAACTTTTGTCAGTTAAATATCTTTTGATTACCTTATTATATTTATAAGTGCTTGAGTTTTGTTTTATATTACTACAGTTTTTTTGTTTCTTTTTGTACTTTAACATTTTACAGACAATCAAGGCATAAGTGATATACAGGCACAGCTTTAATTATATCTGTAATGCCATAAAAACACTACTAAGTCTTGAGGTATGGAGTACACAGTATTGTAAGTCTTTTGAGGTGCTGGTAGATGGGTGAGAATGTTGTGAGGTGTGCAGTTATTATAATATTCATTTAGTAAAATTGTTCTTCAGGTTTATAATTTGATAGGTATGTTCATAAACTATGCTGGTACTGTATATAGTTCAGCATGAATATAGACAATGTAGGGATACGGTGCATGTAGGCTGTGGGAGTATACAGAGCAGGCAAACAACAATGTAAACAGGAAGGCAACTTGACCAAAGATAGCCAACAAAGCTGTCAGGTGCTTATTTCCAGGAAGGTACACCCGCTAGAAAATTATTCGCGACCCTCACGGCACGACGCAATACGACACGGGTGCCGAATAATTTTTTAGTGGGCGTACATTACATCAAGTATTTGGAGATTTTCCTTTAAGAAATTAGATATGCATAGATCCAGTAAACTATAGGTGTATGAAAATAATGTTTGGAGGAAGAGCAAGAGTTTCAGTTGAATAACAACAGAAAAAACTAACAAGTGACATGAGTGTGTGTTTGTGAGCGTGTGTTTGTGTTAATATTCTGTTGGGTGTGATGTAATGTATGTGAGCTACAGCTTTAGTAAAGGTATATGTTTTGAAGCAGTTTGATGACCCATATTTATATTAATAGGGGATTTCTCTTCCTTTTCAGATGGATATGGACAGACCCGAGTCATTTCCACCAGCGCACCGTCTGCTTAAATACATTCGTGTCACTCATGGGTCACATGCCACTACGGCATTCAAACCTCCGCCTGGACCCCGTGCTCTTTAAGGACAAAGTTTCAATGCAGAGGAAAAAATATCGGCAAATTGAAAAAATAGGGAGCTAACGACAGCTTATGTTTAGGTTTTATAGTAAATTAGTTTTTGGGGGGTATTTTGTTCTGAGTGAGAATTATTTTCACACCAAGCTTAATTCAATGGAGTATAGGTAAAGCATTTGGACTGAGCTTTTACAGATTGCCTTCATCTTCTCATTATGTGTTGAGAAGAGACAGAGCAGTTAGACTGGGCCTTTTCCACCAAATTGTCTTTGCTTTGTGCATACAATTTTACTCCAAGTTACCACTATTTTACAGTACAGAAGCGACTTAAATTTTAGACGTCTCGGTATCCGTCGTCGTTTTCCTCCGTTACAGGAATATCGGATATTATTTGCTAAAATAACTGGTGTAACCCAGAAAAATGTTATGCTCTTTAAAAGAGCTTTATTCCATTCAATTTTGGAATGTATCTCCAAATTTGTTTGCAAGTGTGGATAGCGTAGAACATATCAAATGTGCGACATTCTCATAAGTGTAAATTCCTACGTCATTTTATACGCAAGATAGTGCAGGTTTTATTATAAATTATTTGTCTTTTGGGGGACAAATTTTAGTGATTTGCAACAATTCACATGCAATAGCATGGACAGTCTTGTATAGGTTTTAGATTCATGTGTTCTGAGAAAGTTGTGCTGATCTCTACACAGATTGGTATTAAGAGAAGTCCCAAGAATGTCAGTAGTCATTTAATGAATAAAGTGTCATTCATTATTCACGGTGCCATCTGTTACAGCTGCGCATGTCTACGACGAGGACGCAGTCGTAGCTCTTTTAAGTTTTCCCTCCGTCAGGAAATTGTGCTCAAAGGTTCTTTTTATATCGTACGTTTAGTCTCCCGCCGTGGAATTGGAGGAAAATGAAAAATGGTTATGGTGAAAGATGGTGACATCCTTCATACTCTCTGGGTGGCTTCCAGTGACCATCTTCCATGCTCTTAACCTTAAAGCCAATGTTGTGTGTCCTTGTCTCTCACCAAACCAGACTTTTTTTTAATGTGGGAGTGTTGTGCATTACTCTTTTTTGCCACAGTCATTCCAAAGTTCCTGTAAACTCATAGATTAAGGAATGGACGTAGAAGAGGAGACAGCCTCGAGTCCACCATTACAATACACTCAACTCAACTAGCGTTCTAAATATTTCTCCGGCATCAAAAGTTCGGTACGTTACCGGAATCGACACGGAATTTGACAATGCGTCGGTACCGGAGGTGCTCCCGTACAGCAGCCGTAGATTTATAAGTTGACGAGTGTGAATGTTCTGATGATGTGTGTGGAGTTTTGAAAATTGGAATTCATATTATATGAAATGTCTGGAAAAAAGTGATACCAAAATATAAGCAAGGATCACCGCAGAGTATAAAACTAACGACACCTACGCTTAGTTGCGCCGTCGCGTCGATTTGCGTAAACGGGATTACGCAGACCGTCACTCGTTAATTACTAGATAATTGAACGCGACGGCTAACAAATGGCAAATATTCATATACTGTATTAATAAATTTGCAGAGTCTGTTATCAACATCTAATCTACAGAACGCCTTAAACACTAAAAAATCCACGTTTTCTATAAATTTCTAAATGGTCGACAAGAATTTTACCTCGGTGATCCAAAATCGAGAAAGATAAGATGGAAATACCGTAAAGTGTTTTTGCTCCACATGCCTAACCTCATTGTGGCGTTGTCTGACAAGTAACGATACATTTCTTGAAAAATATACAATATGGTACAGGTCTTTTTCTGGGTTTCTACTTAATAAGCAGAAAGCACAGTACAGTACATGGAGAGAATTTTTAATTTCCTTTTTTAATTGCTTGAATAAGTTTGTTAGAAAATTTTGTTGGGGACATTAAAGTACTCATGAAACACCAAGATGTATATTGATCACATGTAGTACGTACTCATTTTTGTTGTCTGGGGATACAGTGGTGCTTCTTTGTACATTATACCGTATAGCGAAAATATGTCACAACTTGCGAGTGGTCCTCCTAAAATACAAAAATTAACTAAGTGAACTGAACCAGCATGATGAACCTCATTTTACAATAGTTTATCATGTTTTGATTATATATTTCTTACCTGTTTTTTCCCTTCTGAAGTTTAATATCAATGTTTTATCTTTTGATTATCTAGAAAAAAAATTACTTAACACAGATGAACTACAGGTTAGATGAGTTTCTTGATGCACTTTTGTTTTAGTTGGTTTTTGTATTTGAGGAGGATCGCTCGGATGTCATTTTTCTGCGTGTATATAATTTGACTGAAATTATTTGATTGTATTTTGTTAAGTTTCTTGTACAGTATTTTGTACGGTAACGGCGAAAATTTCCACGAAGCGATCGGGTATGTGGATTTTGGACGGGAGGTCAGTTTTGGGTTGCCGTACAGTATAGTATATATTTTTCAACATTTCCATTTTAAATATGTTTTGTTCAAAATTCAGCTTTATGTATGATACCCAAGCTAAATCAGCAAAACTTGCATTTTTACAGCATTTTTATTTTGAATGCAAATTTTGCAGTACAGCTTCACAAACGTATATGAAGAAAAAAGTCATCAAAACAGATTTATTTAATGTTGGTAAAGTTATAATTATGATATCAAATAACGATTGCCAGAGTGGAAACACCTTTTATCAACGGGAAATCAACAAAATCATTTTTTTATATGACGAACTAGAATAATCCCACAAAAACCATCAGTAACTGCATGAACTTGAGGAGAACCACTTAGATGCTATTTAAAAAGTGCATCAAGGATTTAAATAAACATGATAATACTGTACTACAGGACAGACACTTCCAAGGTATTATTTCATGACTTGGATGTGATATGTCCCATGACCTGACAGGATGCTTAGAAAGATAATTGTGCTTTGTGTTTTTCATAGTTTCATTCAGGATTAAGTTCATAGAATGTAAAAATTCATAAGTTAAACTGAACTAGTCTCTTAATTAATGCAGAATTTGCATATTAGTTAACCTGCCTTTATTACCAAACTCATATGGATCAATAAGCCAACCTGCCACACTATACAATTACCACTTGTGGCCAACATTCGGGACTTACTCTCATCTTCGTCCTTCAACCGTTTATTAGAAATTTTGGATTACAAACCATACATTTAATCACTCAAAATCTACTTCCGAGAATGCTGGTACGGCATTAACCCATTTCGTAAACGTTATAAATTGTTATATAATTTAATGTATTGGGTACTTAATTTCACGATGCCTCCAGCGTAGCAGTTCATGTGAGGTCGTAAACTCGAGCTGTAAACTAGTAGATGTAAAGGTAATTGCAATTTTTTCCTCCTTCAGAATAACCAACTGAGGTATTGCATTCCTCACTGATATTATTTGAGATAGCTACTTGCTCTCATGTCCTTTAAAGCCGGCGTACAGGCATCGTTCGCTCTAACAAGACTCCGACCATTTTCTGTCAGTTCTGTTTGCTGTTGATGACTGAAACATGTTCCTTATGGTAGCCAGACAAAGGGGGGGGGGTAGAGCATCATTCTAGCTGATATGAGAGACTAACACACACTGGTTACAGGCAGCCATGGGAAGTAACCAGAATCACCATTGGGTCATCTCTAATGATCCATGGTCCTATTTTAATATGAGAGAGATCACAGCAAGAATGGGCTTAAGTAATTTTGCAGCCATTGTGTGGCAATTGTGGCCAAAACTTTAGTTATATTATACTCTTTAAATTTATGACATAGTTGGTATGTACAGTGTATATGAAGGTTTGGCATTAAAGTGGGGTGGTTGTAAAAGTTCTGATGGATGGTATGCAGCTTTCAGTTTGGGAGTGCGTGAGGAAAGGATTACGATGAAATTTTACAGTACAGGTACACGTTTTTTGTTGTGTATTAAGACTTAGGTGGATGATTACTTTAAATATGAGAAATTTGGCTTTAAAAATGAACACTAGAAGTTTACACATATATATCAACATAGCAGTTCAGTATAAGACAAAAGCAAATAGATATCACAGTTAAAGTTAATCATTATTGAAGCAATGCTTTGTGTACATACTGTAGATAACTGTTTAAAATGTACGGCAACAAAGTTCAAGACATTGGCAATACACGCTGCAGTACTATTGTTATTACCACTAGTTAGTTTTAAGGAAAGTGCAGTTTTAAGCGAACAACTTTACTACTGATAAATTATGCTGGTTTGTATGTGAGAATGTTATTCTTGTACACTGGAGTATGACTGTGTTTCTATTCTACTGATTTTTTTCCTTAATGCTCATTCGAATTGTATTTTCCACAATAATTGGTAATCCAGGGTGTATTTTTATAGCTAGAAAATCCACAGAAGTTGTAAATATTGTACAGCTTGTGTACTGTGTTGTCCACAGAGCATAGTAGGAATGAACTGTTTAATGAATGTATCATGCCAATTACTGTTTACCTACAGTTTAGCTTCATGTCCAGTAAACAGTACTATACTTTTTTGTTCTTTTTATGGTTAAAGATATTCTTTAATACAAATGTATTCCAGCTTTCATCTCCCCTTAGCTGCTTTTGCATATTTATTTAGTTTTAAACTACTTCACTGTGAGAACCTGCAGCATAGGAGAGGTCAGTTTAATCTGAATCTGGCTTATAACTGGTCAGTTTTATCCTGTGGTGGTGACTTTGATGACCATTGCCTAAAATACATAAAGGGAAAACCATAGCAGTAAGAAAAATGAATGATGGGAGAGTGTGTGTTTGCACTCAGTTCTGGTCAACTGCATTATAGTAAGGAGTTGCAGGAGTGGAGGGAATTAGAGGCAGGGAAAACCAAGGAAGAGATGGAGGGAAGGGGCGTGGACATCCAGGAAGGCACGGCGTGTTTGAATGACCGGAGAAGTTTGTGGTCGGATGTCCCGCGAATGGTATCGGGTCGTACGAAGTAATACGGACGAACTCGACAGACATTCGAAGCTTCCGAACATTTGGGATTTAGGGTTTTTCCACAACCCACAATTACACGGGACAATGTTTTTCTTTCGTTGCCGAGTATACGGGGGCTAATGGTTTGTTGAGTGATAAATGTCTGTTTAGTATGTAATGGCCAATGTAGTAAGTGACTTATTTGTTTCATTGATATATAGAGTGGAAAATTGGTAACTGTGTGCCCAGTTTTGACACTGAGATCAATTAATATCTGAAGATGCCTATAGATTTAGTGACAAAGGAATGCACTCAACCTTTAGCATCATGGGTTATCAGCTTTCACAATTTTATGTGGTCAGTGGATAAGTTGCCATCTGTCATTTCCAGTCAGGTTGAAGACAGAGAAAATTTATTTGCAGTGCCTGTGGCTACCACCGACACGTATAGACACGACTGATAATCGACCAATAAACAGACGGTCTCCCGCCGGCCTCGCAGATCTTTTAATCTTTACGTTAATATTTCCCGCAACCCTCGACATCGGGCGAACCTCTCGCTCCAATCCCCTGCCCTCCTGTACTGCTTGCTGGCTTTCTCCTCTGTAATTGAGTGAGTAAGTTGTTTATAAGGTTAGAGTCACTGACATAGAACATGCATATTGATATTAAAGTGGATGATGAATTACTTGGTTAAAGAATCAAGTTGTGATGTGGTAAATGATTTGTAAGAAACAGAAAAGTAACTTGTAATCTCCACCTCAGTGGAGTGCAGGTAAATACAGATAAGTTAATGACTTGTTATGAGGTTTATACCTCGTATGTACAGTAGTGTAAGTTAGCTTGAGGAATCATATACAGTGCTGTATATACTGTACAGTATGTGAGAAGTGTTGTAAAGTAAAGACATGAATACAAGGAATTATTGTCAAGTTACTGAAGGAGGATTCTGTGTTATACACAGTATTGAAATGTGTTCATTATGTTAAAATGATAGTTTCTGTTTTACCATTTACTTGTTTTACATAAGGTAATTCCATTATTTTAAGATTCTAATAAATGTCATGTGATGTTTTTTTTAATTCTTAATATCAGCTCTTTGGATGGATTTCGCGATTTGAGGAATAGCTTTAACGTTTCGCGAAGAGCGCAACGCCTCGGACCGGTTCGGCGTCGCGTAAAATTGATCCCATTCCGTGCAGAGTCGATCATTTTTCATGCCAAGCCGATGCTGTATCGTCTAAAGCCGATTCTGTCGTATGCACAGCCGGTACCGCATCGAGCCGAGCCGAACCGGCGTAGAGGAAAGCCAATCCTATATCACGAAATCCAGACTCGCGCAGAGGCGATCGCGCGTCGTGCAAAGATAATCGCGTAACGCGCACGATCGATTTTTGTCGCGCAAAGCCGACCCTGTACCTCGCCCGACCTCTCGCGTCATTATTACCAGGTTGCCATTGTGCCATCTCACCTCAAAGGATTTTAAGCCCTTCATTGCGACAAACTAAAACCACGGTACAGTACGTGCAGTTCACCCCCAACAATGTAGCGATACCGCATTCTCGTTTTACAGTAAGGACAAGGTACGGGGGGTTTAAATCTCCACACACACACACACACACAAAAAAAAAATCTATCTGCTCATCCGGATCTGATGCATTTGGAAAGGAACACGACGTACAGCAGTTTCAGCTCGGTCGTCGAGCATTCGCAAACGGTGTTCCGAATTGTTTTTCAATCGTGTCGTACCGTATTGCGTCGACGAGAAAAGGGCAGATACGTATTTTTTTTTTGTGCGCGCGTACCATTGACGGAGGAAATATAACACCTCGGTAGTACGAATCACTCGAACGAAACTGTGCCATTGTAAATCCATTCACGAATTCAGCGTCTCGCAGTCAGAGAATGAGTCGAGCAATGAATAGATAAGGTGTAAATACTAAATGTTTATATGATTAGTTTGTTGTGTCAAGTGTGTTTTATACTACTGACAGCTACTAAGAGTCGAACGGATCGGTATTATGGAATTACCGTAGTATGCGGTTTTACGAACCGAGTTTCTTTGTTCGGGAGAATATTTTTGTTAAAACCTCCTAACAAACAATGCATCTGATAATGAAGTTGACACTGCATCTTTTTGTTAATGTGAAAATGTTGAATAGTGTACTGTAGGTGACTTTCAGACAGTGGCATGTGCAGGAAGCTACCAAGGAATTATTATGAATACTGTATAAGTGGAGTAATGGCTGAGAACTAAATACTTGTACAGGTATTTGGTTTATGATCCAAGTGTAGTCATATTCGGCTGTGTTACGTCATTAGTTTTCGGCGATCTCTCGTCGACGTTACGATAATTCGCGGCAAGTACGTGACGCGTCGGAGAGGAGGGAATTTCGGGATATTACACGGAAGAAAATAATTTGACCGAAAGTTTAACGCAAATACAAACCAAAAAATGTTATTGGCGATGCCCGAGTGATGGGGGAATTTACCCAGAAGAAGGCACCGTTAAATATTGTTACGGAATATTGTAGTATTACCGTTTTATAATGTGAAATTTAGGTTTAATGGACAAATATATTTTAAGGGGTAAGAGAGTCAAATATTAGAAGAGTTATTAAGGGTACCCATTTTACTTAGTGCAATGCAGAAATAATTGTAGACAAATGTTATTTTGTAATTATGGAAAAGGCCTTAGGAGGGAAAGGTGCAGCCTTATTCAATGTATGCTAGTCAAACAGAGGTGGGCAAGTGCATTTTTTTTATATTAGAAGGAAATGATGTACAGTATATGTTGAGAGAGAAAGGAGCTAATTAATTAAGGGAACTATGAGAGGAAATAAATTGGTTGGTCGGGATGTAGTGTTTAAAAGTTGTCACGGTTATATACGAAATTGTAATTAGATATGTAGTTAGAGTAAGCAGCGAGGCGGGAGTAGACTCGATGGCGAGACAAGACATAAACACAGCAGGGAGGAGAGCTAATATACGATCCATTCCACGACCGGCGGCGTTTTAAGAGTCGGCATACGAATGACCGACTCCCACCCGCAGCACCGAAGAAAATGGCGACGACGGCCAACGGGGTCTAGAGCGCCGAGAACTTCTCGACGGTCGTCGGAACTAACGCGTTCTAATATGCGAAGGGAAGAAATTTTCAAGACCTCCACGGTGTCGACGCTTACACGGACCGGGTCACTTTTACTTTTCCAATGATATTTCTTAATATAGTATCTAACACTAAATCCTGTTTGCTCACAGGTTAATAATACAGGTGAAAACAATTATGATATTCCTTTATTGCAATGACATGTTTTTTAGCTTTTGTATTATTTTTCACTGTCGATTGTACAGTATCTTATAAGTTACAAAATTTTCACAAAAGTAATATTGTTTAAACTGGGTATACATTCTGTGTAATGTGCGGCAAAGGTACCACGCATCCGGGTTTCTTATTTGTAGGAACACGGGCATTGGAATTCGGTGTCTCCCTCCCCTCAATGACACGTATGTCCCAATGTCTGCGGAGCTACAGGTAACAGTTCATCACAGGGCAATATATTGAAATGTAAAATGGAAATTGTATTTAAAGACATACAATGACTGTTTTATTGTGTTCTTTTCTATTTTTAAGAGGTAACAAACTAGGAAACTTCTTGTATCAAGATAACTTTTTAATGTACAGTATTCTTTTAATGAATGTATACCGTACCGGCGGGGTACCGGGGGCTCTCAAACATTTAAAAGACTGCAGTTGAATGCTGCCAGCCCTCCCTTAAAGATATAAAGAATGTAGGAATTTTTTCCCTCATTAACAGATACAGTTTCTATGCCTACGACCCAACAGTCGGTATTCTTCCCCCTTTTCCCGGAGTACCGTTCGTTTACGCACGTCATGGCATACGATCTCACTACTGTACCAGATTAGATATTTAATAATGAAACCAACAACTTTTTCCTTCTCTTTTATTTTTTATTTTTAGTATTTAATAATAAACGAAACCGACGACCGTTTGCTTCCGTTTTATTACTATTTTATTTTATTTTTAGGATGGGTTACAGTCATCATGCTTGTTGGGGATTTCAGTGCATTGCCTTAATGTTTTCACATTTAATGGATCTAAATGCTAGGCCGGTTCTTTTAGGAAACACTGTTTATATGAATTGCTTGATATTAACATAGCATAATATTGTCTTAGGAAAATGTTAATGTACGAATGAATATTTGAGTGACAACAGCTTGTACGGGGAATGTCTTCTAGCGAGGCGATGCCAATTATGAAAACGATTAAATTTTTTGTACATATTTTGTACCCAAAGCTTGTACAGGTGCATTCCTCAGCAATAAATAAAAAAGGTGGATTTATGTTTTATCTTCAGTTATCCTTCTTATATAGGTTAAAGAACTGCCCCGGCGTAATACGGGGAGCGCACGCGGTCGACTCCTCGCCGTTCACGAATATCGAGTTCGGAACGCTACTGCATTCGCCGCAACCGCGTACCGTACGGCGCGACGTCAAACTCGAAACGGAGTCGACGTCCGCCACGCACAATCGACATTCTATACGGCGTACGGCACAGACGGGACAAATGTCGGTCGAGAGCGAGCTATTTCTGTTTTTGCTTATGAAGGTAATTACAGTAATTTTATTGCATAATATATTTGTTATAGCCTATAATTTCTGCACTACGTACCCCTTCTACGTCGTCGGTCAATTTATTCCGTCGCCCGATTTATGGTCGCGCTCGAGTCGTCGGCGGCATCCGCATTTTTTTTATCCGTTTCCCGAGCCACCCGAGTACCGTACATGGGTCACTCGGCGCCGCGCACGTCCGGAACGTAGAGCATGACGTACCGTACGGCGTTATTTATACGGAGTACAACACGGCGTGCCCCGACAATTCGCGGATTTTTAATTTCCGGAAAGCTTCAAAATTTTTACAAAAATTTGATTGTCATTTATTTGAATAGATAATTTTCTGCTCTATAATTTCAACTCTATGCTGAAAACCTTGCACAAGTACAGTGAGTTCTGCTATAACGCGTGTTTTGATAACGCGAATTTGCTCTAACGCGATTTATGAATTCGGAACAATATTTGTATAACGCGATCGCTTGTTTGCTATAACGCGATTTTTGCTTACTATTTCTCCAATTTTGTGGTATTAACTGTGAATATGGTAAAGAAGAATATCTCCAAAAAGCATTCTGATGATAGAATTCCCGGTGATTATCGTAAAAGAAAGGATATAACACTTGAAGAGAAGCTTGATGTTATCAACCTCAAAATCACCCTTCTCCCCATCAAGTTACATTCATATTTTTTCAAGGTAAAGTGTTAAATTTACTGTATGATTTCATTATTAGATATGAATGTAACATTTATTTAGACTGTGCTATCCTTTGTGTTAGGCTAACTACTAAATTTTTTCGATTTCGAGTAATCTGCACCTAACCCTATTTTCTCCATAAGCCCTGTTATTTCTATTACGCGATTTTCTATAACACGATATTTTACAAGAACACAATTATCGCGTTATAGCAGAACTACCTGTACACCTCTGAAACTCCCAGGTACACCTCAGACACTGCCAGGTACACCACAGACACTCTCAGGTTCACCTCAGACACTCCAAGGTGCACCTCTGACACTCCCAAGTGCACCTCTGACACTCCCAGGCACACCTCTGACACTCCCAGGTACACCTCAGACACTCCCAGGTACACCACTGACACTCCCAGGTACAGTGAGTTCTGCTATAACGCGTGTTTTGATAACGCGAATTTGCTCTGACGCGATTTATGAATTCGGAACAATATTTGTATAACGCGATCGCTTGTTTGCTATAACGCGATTTTTGCTTACTATTTCTCCAATTTTGTGGTATTAACTGTGAATATGGTAAAGAAGAATATCTCCAAAAAGCATTCTGATGATAGAATTCCCGGTGATTATCGTAAAAGAAAGGATATAACACTTGAAGAGAAGCTTGATGTTATCAACCTCAAAATCACCCTTCTCCCCATCAAGTTACATTCATATTTTTTCAAGGTAAAGTGTTAAATTTACTGTATGATTTCATTATTAGATATGAATGTAACATTTATTTAGACTGCTATCCTTTGTGTTAGGCTAACTACTAAATTTTTTCGATTTCGAGTAATCTGCACCTAACCCTATTTTCTCCATAAGCCCTGTTATTTCTATTACGCGATTTTCTATAACACGATATTTTACAAGAACACAATTATCGCGTTATAGCAGAACTACCTGTATCAATTTTTTTCACTTGACACAGTTTCCCCCAAATTCAGACTCTGATTACACAAAAACTGTAACACCTATGGGAAAAATGAATAGAGACAATGTTGTTTAAAATCACATTTCCATTATTTTTGCGTACGTACGAAATATTATCGTCCAATGCACGGTTCAACCGGAAAGTGCGAAAAAGTAATCGGCATCCCCTTTCGGGGGAGGCATTCGGGGCCCAAAAAGGGGGATGCTGCCCTCCCCGGATGGAAGGAAACTCTTTTGATCTTGATTTCTATAGCCTTCAAGAGTATGTATGCCAAATTTCATCTCGATATAAATTTTTTTCCAAGTGGCTTCACTTTCTCATGCTTCAATAACAAAATCTTCTGTGCACGATGAGGGTGGCTTACACACTTTAGAGTCGATAGGCTATGGTCCATACTAATGCCAGCTCCAGATCCAAAACTTGTGCGAAGTGCAGTGTATCCTGGAAGTTTGGGTAATGTGTGCGTGTGTGACACTCCTAGTCTCCTCAGAAATAGGTACGTATAATGAACTATCTAGGAATGTTAAGAAAAATGTAAGGAAAGCAAAGAGAGACTACAAAATCAGGATAGCAAGAGAATCCAAGGCGAATCCCAAGGGCTTTTTCCAGGTATATAGAACAAAGGTCAAGGACAAAGTTGGTCCTTTAAAGTCAGGAGGGGGTGGGGGGGGAAGTTATCGATGGCAGTGAAGAAATAAGCAAAGCATTGAACAGCTACTTATTATCAGTATTCACAGAAGAAATTCACGAGGAAATTCCAGAGGTGGAACTGATATTTAGGGGAAAGGAAGAAGAGAAATTTAAGAATATCACTATCAGAAAAGAGGATAAATAAATTAAAGAAGACAAAATCCACAGGGCCGGATGAAATTTTTCCTCGAGTCTCGAAAGAGCGTAGGGAACAGATTAGCGTAAATTTATTTACAAAATCACGAGACACGGGACAAATGTAGTACCCATATTCAAAAAGAGAGAGAGAGCACCGGTGTCAAATTACCGGCCGATCGGTTTGACGTCGGTAGTGGGGAAATTTCTTGAATCAATTATAGCAAATAGCATCCGATCGCATTTAGAGAAAAGCAAATTAATCTACGACTCTCAACGTGGGTTTACAGAGGGAAAATCTCATCTAACAAATCTGCCGACGTTTTTTAGGAAAGTCTTCGAGGTAGTAGATAACGAAGAAAATTACGATGTTATTTACTTAGACTTTAGCAAAGCATTTGACAGAGTACCGCATCAGAGGCTTCTGAGAAAAGTTAAGGCTCATGGCATCGAGGGGAAAGTTTCAAATTGGATAAAATCGTGGCTCACCGATAGAACGCGGAGGGTCGGCGTAGACGGCGTTAAATCCGAGTGGGGTTCCCCAGGGGTCAGTGCTAGTGCCAACTCTTGTTCATAATCTACATAAACGATCTAGATACTGGGATCAGCAGTGACATAAGCAAGTTTGCCGATGACACCAAAATAGGGCGGCAGATTAACTCTGGGCAGGATGCAAATGCACTACAGGAGGATTTAAATAAACTGCAGGAGTGGTCAGAAAAATGGCAAATGAAATTCGACACCAGCAAGTGCAGCGTACTTAATATTGGAAGAACAAATACTGTCGATGTATACGGCCTTAACAACCAGGGCTGGATTCAGGAGTGGGCAAAGTGGGCAGCTGCCCATGGGCCTCCACAATCTGGGGGCTTCCACATGTGCGGTAGTAGCTATATCAGGGCTGGTTCGACTTGAAACCACATGAATGACTCCAGTCATGTCTCACTTTTGTGTATATGTGTGTGTTGTGAATTTGTACACTATCAATAAATATACAGTTAATTAAAAATTTCTCAATGTTCTAATTTCCTCAATATAACTGCATATGGTTTCAAAATTCTCCAAAGAAGTGTTCAAATTTCCAAATTTTCCGGGGCTTAGCACCCCCCGGAACTCCCAGATGTTTAGGCTCGCTTCACTCGCCACTCCACCCTCTTGGGTAGTTATGATGAGGGTGGCCTCCACAGGTCTAAATCCGGTACTGTTAACAATAACCTAGAGAAGTCGACTTGTGAAAGAGACTTAGGGGTACTTGTACGCCCGGACCTACGGCCCAGGAAACCGAGTTAATGTTCGAAATAAGGCAAACAGAGTATTAGGTTTTATATCTAGAAGTGTAAGTAATAAAGAGTGCAGAGGTCTTATTGCAACTATATCTTGCGCCAGTCAAGCTGCACCTCGATTATGCGGTACAGTGGTGGTGCCCTTATTATAGAATGGATATCAATTCACTGGAGTCGGTGCAGGGAAGAATGACGAAAATGATTCCGGGACTTAGAAACCTTCCATGTCAAGATAGGTTAAAGAAACTAAACTTGCATTCCCTAGAAAGACGAAGAGTGCGGGGACATATGATAGAAGTATTTAAGTGGGTGAAAGGAATCAATAAAGGGGATATAAAGTTCTTATAATATCCGAGCAGGATAGGACTCGTAGCAACGGATTTAAGTTGGATAAGTTTAGGAGGGAACTGGTTCACAAATGGGGTGGTGGAACAAGCTTAGCAACTTTGTAGTAAGTGCTGGAATGCTGGAAAGTTTTAAAAGGAGGCTAGATAGATTCATGGATGATAGAAACTCTCGACAGGAGCTGCCATGCACAGGCCAACCGGCCTATTGCAGACTCCTTATTTTCTTAAACAATCCTCTACTCATTTCTCACATGGTATGTATTTATTGTGCCAGGTGGTTTCTTACTGGCCACAAATAAATCTTAATTTGTGATATTATGGAGTTGAAAAAAAATACGAAGTGAATTTATGTGGCAGATGCTTTAGCCATTGTATTCTCAATTTTTGCAAGTTTGGATTTGGAAACGTTAGGCATTTGGGCCTCAGTTGTCGAGTGGAAGAAATTGGACAGCGTTTACAAAATATCAAGATCAAGATCTTAGTAGTGTGAAAGTGTAAATCGATGTAGGAGAATTTTAGTGCTAGACGGGATTGTATATTTGAAAACCCAATCTCCACCGAGTTTGAGGTACAGCCCAGGTCAAGAGGCCTTCAACCTTAAAATCATT